GCTGGCTCTCCAGCTATCCCATGGCTGTTACCTGCTCCTGATGACAGTCTCTGGAGGCCCTTCAGAACAACTTTAGGAGGGTTTTCTTTCTGCTGCAGCCTTCTGCGTTGAATAAAGATTAATCAAATCAAAGGTTTCCTTTTTAAAGATGTAAAGGCAATAAAACTCAGCTCAGTGCTGGCTGTGTTCCCTCTCCTGCCAAAGGCCACCCTACTCTGCAAAACAAGAAAGCCCCCGTGACAGCCATGGTGCTGGGGAAGTCTCCAGCCGTCTGAAAGCAAAATGCTTTTCCTTGCTTATCTTCGAGCAGGGATGGGCAGCAAGCAAGGACTGGAGAAGTGGCCCCCATGCCTCTGGGAATGCCAAACTCGCCCTGCATGGTGGTGGCTGCCTGGCAAGAGCAGGAGTCATCAGCTCAGCCATGCACTTGAGGGGCTCCATCCCCCTTCACAGCTACTCCAGCATGCAGACACAAGGGGGGGCAGGACAAAAGAAGAGCAAGAAAAAAGGAATGATCTTTCTGGGGGGAAAGAAGTCCATGCATCTGGGCTTGCAGCAGAAGGAACCACTCTTCATGTCCCCGCAGGAGTGGGTTACTGGTTCCCTCTGGCCTGGGAAAACTTTCTGCAGCTTTATTAGCATTTGGGCAGGCCCTACAGACCATGCCAAGGAAGAATCCAGTGAGAGGCAGGATTGGGAGGCAAAAATTAGATGGGAAAGGGACTGGCAATGACACCAAATGATCATCATAGAATCATAGAATCATAGAATCTTAGGGGCTGGAAGGGACCTCGAGAGATCATCTGGTCCAACCCCCCTGGTAGAGCTGGGATTGGTCCCAGTTTTCCCACTGTAAAAGCCCTACTCCCAATTCACTGCTGGAAGCATCTCTTGTGTACGACTTTAAACCAACAAAGTGATAAGGAAAGCACCAGTGATAGAAGGAATGAAGGAATACATTTTTAAAAGGATGGGTTGGGCCAGTAATAAGGTTTTGTGTCATAGCATAGAGATGTTTAGATAAACATTATGGTAACAATTCCAGCTGCATCATCTCACCCGTTTTTAAAAAAGGATAAAAAGGAGGACTGTAGAAACCACTGAGAAGTCAGCCCAACTAATCTGGTGGCCATCTCTGATGGAGTGACTGTGCTGGTAGATAAAAGATGAACAAGTGATGCCAGCTACCTGGACTTCTGTAAGGCCTCTGACACAGTTCCACACAACATCTTTGTCGCTAAATTGGAGAGATAAGGTTTTGATGGATGGACTATCCAATGAAGAAGGAATTGGCTGGATGGCTGCACCTGAAGAGTTGTAGTGAATGGCTCAATTTCCAAACAGATAACAGATGGTTAACAGTGGTGCCCCTCAGGGGTCTGTAAGTGGGATGAGTTTAATATCTTTGTTAATGACAGAGGCAGTGGGATCAAATGAACTCTCAATGAGTTTGCAGATGACACCAAGCTTAGTGGTGTAGTTGAGATTCTGAGGACACAGATGCCATCCAGAGGGACAGGTCTGAGGAGCAGGCCTGTGGTGAACCTCATGCGGTTTGTGCACCTGGGTTGGGGCAACTCCTGGTATCAATATAGGCTGGGAGATGAAGGGATTGAGAGCAGCCCTGATGAGAAGGACTTGGGGGTACTGGTGTGTCCTGGTTTCACTGGGATAGAACCATAGAATCAATTTTCTATTCAGGAAAGCTGCATTTTTTGAGAAGACTGCAGCACCTGATTTGGTGAGAACAAAGTTGGTAAGAATTGTTGTTTTAATTCATGGCCAGGCCTGGTACACAGGTTTCTGTAGTGATGAAGATCTTAAGCAGTTTCAAGAGAGCCAGGTGCTAACGCTAGGAGGAGTGAAAGCCCAGGCAGCTGACCTGTTCCATACCGTAAATGTCACACTCACTACAAATTCCAAAGTTTGCTGGGGGTCTCTTCCCTCAATGGTCCCCATCCCTGGAGGGTGTCATCCATCACTTTGCTCCTGAGGCCTGCTCTCCTACTTGTTGTGACTGTCACGATTTGATGGAGCTGTGGTGCTTGACATCTGGCATCCACTGCTGGAGTGCACAGCTCGCGCCTGCTGTGTGGGCTGAGTGTAACTCTGTGTAGCTTGTACTAGGATTGGTATTAATATTAGTTTGCTATTATTATTTTATTAAATCAGTTTCTACTTCAACCCACGGGCCTCCTTTCCTTTTCCTGATTCTTCTGTGGGGAGGCATTACTGGATGATGGAACAGCTGACTAAACAAAGACACCTGGATGAAAAGCTGGACATGAGCCAGCAATGTGCTCTCACAGCCCAGAGGGCCAACCCCATCCTGGGCTGCATCAAAAGAAGTGTGGCCAGCAGGGCTAGGGAGGTGGTTCTCTCGCTCTGCTCCACTCTGGTAAGAACCCACCTGGAGTACTGTGTACAGTTTTGGTGTCCTCAGCGCGTAAACACACGGACCTGATGGAGCAGGTGCAGAGGAGGGCCACAAAAATGCTTAGAGGGCTGGAGCACCTCTGTTCTGAACACAGGCTGGAGAGTTGGGGTTGTTCAGCCTAGAGAAGAGAGGGCTCTAGGGAGACCTTATTGTGGCCTTTTGGTGCTGAAAAGGGACTTGTAAGAAAGATGGAGAGAGACTTTTTACCAAGGCCTGTAGTGACAGGACAAGAGGCAACCATTTTAAACTGAAAGAGGGTAGATTTAGATTTAACATGAGGAAGAGTTATTCCCTGTGAGGGTGGTGAGACACTGAAACAGGTTGCCAGAGAAGCTGTGGATGCCCCATCATTGCAAGTGTTCAAGGTCAGGTTGGATGGGGATTTGAACAACGTGATCTAGTTAAATATGTCCCTGCCCTTGCAGGGGCATTGGGACTAGATGATCTTTAAGGTCCCTTCTGACCAAAATCGTATGATCTCATTGTATCAGAGTTGTACTGGAAGGATGCAACATGACAATGCAGTATGTATTGCAGGTATCTGTGCATTTAGCAAGTACAAAAGTGATTAAAATTGTACTTAGCAAGGAGGGGCTTTGTGTGCACGTGTGTGCTTGCTAGCTAGCCTACTTTCAAGTTGTACTTGCTGGACATACTAAAATCTAGTAATGCATTTCAACAGTAGTAGTTGGTGTCACGTGACCTATTCTAACAAGATGCTCAATTTACTCAGTATCACAGTCTCATGCAAAAGCAACTACAAAAATAAACTGCTCTAAAAAAGAGGGAAAAAAACCCACTTTTTTTTTCTTTTTCCTTTTAATGCCGTGGAACAGACCACGGGTGCTTTGATGGTGACTGAAGCTGCATCTAAGCTGCAGTCTGTGAATCCTGAGTACTTCCCAGGAAAGTTGAAACACAGCTCCCATCCAAGCAGTTTGGCTGGGCTGTGCAATGCCACCTCTGCCCACGGGCAGGAGAGCTGTCCTCCCTGCAGCACTCCTGCTGCCCAGGGATTTGCTGCACCTACCATCTCCCACCTACTTCGACCTAGGTGCTCAGAACAGGAATGCATGCAGGCTCTTTGCCCCAGGCTGGATAGAAAAGCATCCCACAGATCTCTTTTTTTACTTTATTAAAAATTATGCTCAGATTTGTTTGGTTGGTTTTGTTTTGTTTTGTTTTTCTTGCTAGCAGTGCCCACAAGGGCCCTGCAGCATGTCCCACCCAAGCCTGTCCCTGGCCTTGCCACCCCTTGGGTAGACATCACCCCAAGCCTGGATGAATTTTTTTGCTTATAGGCAGAGAAATTAAAGTTAGTTTAGCCATTCTTTTCCATGAATCTCTGTAATTTTGGGTAAGCTTTGGCAAGGTGAAATTATATGGAAGGAAAGAAATTCTGACCTCATTTGCACACATGTAGTCCACTGGAATTTCAGAGAGGGAGAAGCTAGAGCCCTGGCAGGCACCCAGAATCTCACGCTAATAATGCAAACCTCTTGTCCAGCAAAGGTCAAGGATGAAGAATGTATTTTCTTCTTGCTTATGGGACTTGAAATTAAAAAAAAATAAAAATGGACAGAAATCTACAAATAGAGGTTTTGATTTATCCAAATTGGGGCAAGGGAAAACAAGGTAAGATCCAACTAGGATCTGAAGATGCTAAAACTGAAACACGTTAACCTATAACCTCTATCAAATTGGCTAAAGCCCTCAGGTTTCTCATCTCTAGCCTATCTCCACTTACAATATCCATGCCAAGAGTTAAAAAGCAGAGGATGGTATGTGTGTTATATTGGGTGTTCAATGCAAAGGTGATGGTTTTAAAGGCAGTACTGTCTCAGAATTTCAAAGTCGCTGGTGTTCATGTTACATAGGGTACCACTTGGTGGACATTTGGAAGGCGCTTCTAATTCGGTGTAATTTTCTCCTTGGTTGGGTATAAATATTCCTGGGAGGCTAAACAGAAATGCTTTTCATTTAGATACAAGTCTTAGGCACGAGTTAGAAAACTGCTGACTGTAATGAAAATATATCAGCACTTAGTAGTATCCAATAATATAAAAAAATGCAATTCAGAACATCTTCAACTACATATATATGAGTGTGCGTCTATATATAGGTATAAAGATACAATAGGTACGTGTATATAAACAAAGACACATATACAGAAATATTCACAATTTGAACTGTATTTGTAACTAACCTGAAGTACTGCAGCACATGTTCATTCTGATGAACCAGTAATAAAGTATTTCCCAACTTTGGGCTCTAACCGTAGTTAAAAATTTAAAACATCACACTAAAGGTTTTGCTCTTCTAACTCTCTGCTCTCCTAGCTCTTTGCTATCTTTTTCACTACCCTAACCAACATGTCAGCCTCAAAAGCTCCTGTGTGGGAACTCTAAGGGTACCCTGCCTAGTGTAAAGCTACGTAGCTACTGAGCATGCTTGCAGCCATGAACCCTGGGTGGCTGTTGATGGGAATACTTCCTTGGAAGGTAACATTTGGCAGGTTGGAAATGCATAAAAGGCAGGGGACCTTTGGCGCACGGGTGCCGACTCATCGCCGCAAGGTTCTGACTTTTGCTGGAGAGGAGTTTCCTGATGAGCAGTGGTACAAAGAAGTGGGCGATGGGGGTAGGAGCTTCACAGGGCTCATGGCATCTCCCTCCTGCAGCTTCCAGAGGAGCTCTTCATTAGTCCTGCTCAGCTTCTTCTTCTCCTCCACTTCTTTCTCAACGTATTCTTGAAGATTGGCATTCTCCTCTGACAATTGTCTGGAGTGGGAAGCAGGACAATGTGGAAGGTGCACCAGTGTGAAGATGGTGGCATTAACACAGCCAGTGCTGCACAAGCAGCAGGGCCAGGCAAGACTCCAAACACCTCACCCCATCCCATCCCATCCCATCCCATCCCATCCCATCCCATCCCATCCCATCCACCTCTCCCTAGGGCTGCAACTGAGCTGCCCAAGCTGGGGCACAGCTGTCCCTGCGTCTTTTCACTCCTGGGTGAAAAATGCATCTCCACAGGTCACAACCCCTCAGGGTTTAACTCTGCCTCCAGATGTGCTTGTCTCTGCTCAACACCTCTCTGAGGCAGCTCAGATGCCAAAGATTAGATGGGAATAGCCCCAGACTTCTTCTGTTGCCTGTCAGCATCATGCCTGGCATGGAAAGGTGCCAAGGGCTTTGTGTGTTGACCATGTACTATAGACATTTTAAAAATGGCCATTTTCCTACAAATACAGGAGAGCATAAATTGGAAATTCCTAAGAGACATTGTCTCTTTATTTGTACATCTGAAAGCAGCAAAAATGCAAAACTGCAGTGCCCTGCAGAACACTCATGGACAGAGGGCATGGCAGAGGGCAACTGGAAATTAGGCTGAGGTAGAGCTCTGGTGTGCATTCCCCCTTCCCCAACACTGGTAACTATCATTCTTCAGACATCCTCAGTCTAAAGGACCAAAAAAAAAATGCTGGTTGATTTAGAGGGAGAATCTGAGATGCTGGGAAAAATCAACTGATTTATTCAAGTCCCAGCAGCAGCTCTTTGGAGCTCCTGTTCCCAAAGCTGGTATATGATCTCCCAATCGACCTGCAAGGCTCTTCTCCCTTCCTTTGTACCTGCCCTTGGCTCTGATTGCACATATCTCTGCACTGCACCCCTCGGGCCCCCAGAGGCTCTGGCGCCCCCCAGCCATGCTGCAAGGCTGGCTTTGCTCTGGCTCACACCCCTCCTGCTTCCTGCCCTCCTCTTGCTGCTGCTGGGCTGCCACAGCCATGTGGGCACCCAAAACTGCAAAGCAGCAGAAATAGCTCTGATCCACACTGCTGCCCAGCAAGGCCAGCTCATCAAGCTCATTCCCACTTCACTTCCCAGACAGTGCCAGTAGAGCAGAAATGAGCAGTCCTGGTGGCTACTGCTGCCAGGAAAACTCACGTTTTAACAACTCTGGCTTTAAAGCTCTGGTTGACACTGTCCCTATAGCTGTCCCCAACCTTCTACTGTTGAAAATGATTGCCCTCAGAGTTGACCCTCCAGGCTGGCCTGAAATTCATAACTTCTCCCCAGAAGATGTTCTTTGAAGTACAGAGTTACAGGTGCTGCAGACAGCTCTTCACTCAGCCAGCAGCAGGGAGCTGCAATGCAGAGGCCAAGCACTGAGCCAGGCACCCTAGCTGCTGTCGCAGGCATGGAGAGAGACTGCCACTTCCAGACCACAATTCATCCAGCCCAGAAGCAGGTGTCTCAAACTGGTCTAGTGAAGCAGACCTTAAAAATTCCTGGTTTTCCTCCTCAAGCGCCAACTTCAAACAGTGACATGTGTGTTACAGGTATTTACAATCAGGTGAGATGAGACGATCTTCACCCCAATCTGAATGTTAGTATAAGCAATACTGCTTTGTAAAAACAGCTACATGCAGAAGACATTCTTTTGTAAAGGCTGAATCATTAATAGAGGAGACACTAGTAAGACAAAACCTAAAATTAAATCAGAGATAAGATGCTAAAGCTTTAAAAGTAAATTACTTAAAAAGTAAATTTAGGCCAATGGCACAATTTCTGGCAATAATGACAGCTGGTGTGTTGGGACAAATTCAGCTCTTCCCCTGGCACCCCTTCTGCCTGGCTCCAGCAGTGGTCTCTTGCCTTACAGCAGCACACTATAAACTTTCTGGGTCACAGGCAGCCTTGTCATCCTTATCAGGTTGTAACAAAGTACAAACAGACAGTGCAGATGATCACTGCAGGTGATCCTGCTCTGGCAGGGGGGGTGGACTAGATGATCTTTTGAGGTCCCTTCCAACCCCTAGGATTCTGTGATTCTGTGAAAAAACCCACTGAAGGATAACTCTGTCTGGGTGACAGTGGCATCGTTAGGACGTCTCTCCTGAAATTCATGCTCCATTTCCCATCCTCGGTACCCACTAACTGGTCTCAGGGCACTGTCACTGAGATCAGAAGCCAGTGGCAACTTTGCTCTCATATCATGCAACTTGGCAGCACGTCAAAATCATGGAACACATAGACAGATATGTGGCCTTCCTGATGTTAAAGTAAAAGCCTCAATATAAATTTTTTTTTTAACAAAGCAAGCAGATCAGGACACCAACACACTTTCAGGTGGAAACAAGCTTTTCCCCTGCTGAAATAAGTGTCAGTTGGGCAGTTAAAATCTCCAGCCTCCTTTCAAGCTTGGATAGATCGCAAGTATCAGCACAAACCTTGTTAGGACGGTATTCTGCTCAATCCTGGCTCTGAGTTCTTCATTCTGCTGTTGCAGCATGGTGATTTTTTCTTCCAGTTTTAAGTTCTTTTCAGCCTGCAATGAAAGAAGGTTTGTTAAGTCTGAAGAAAGCCCAACACCTGATTAAAAAAAAAAAAAAAAAGTGTTCTTTTTTCTCCCTAGACCAACATCTTAAATTGAGAACAGATGGAGGTGGCCATCTTGAGTGCAGCTGAGACTTAGAGGTCTGGCTCACATCACATACTCGTGGACTAAGTGGGGTAAATCAGCAGAGCACTGAGCTGGGGCAGAGCTGAACTAGCCCTTACTTGTAACTGAGGAGCAGGAGGGTCTCAGTCCTGTCTAGTGCAAATAAAACATCTTCCTTGGTGGTGGCCCCCACAACTTTCATCCCTCAGGAGCCAGTTTTACCAGCTGTTGTTCTTGGACAGCTGGTGGCACCTGGGGAGCATGGAGATGCCCACCATGGAAAGGGCACTGTAGTGTGAGTGGTCAGCCAAGCGATGAAGGAGCAATGCGAGGTGGTGTGATGTGAATCACCCAGCTCAACTAACCTCACTGGAGATAAATGTGTGGTGTACAACCTCTAGGGTTATCATTCCCTGGTTCTGGGGAGGAAAGAGTTACCCACCAGGGCAGACTGTACTCAGCAGCAGCCTGAGGCTGCTGCTGCATTCCCATGAGGTGGGCGGCTCTTTGCAGATGCTTCTCTCCACTGCTGACAGTGTTGGCTTAAATGAGTGGCTTAAACCAGACATTTACATTTAAGCTACAATTCAGTGAAATGAAACCTATCTCAACCACAGGTAGCTATTAGGTGAGACAGTTCAAGGACAGTTTGAGGATGTCAATAGCAGTGTATCAAAACATCAGTGAGATGTTTGCATGCATGTACCATAGCCTCAGATGCCCTGTTTTTCCCAAGTTTTGAATTTGACATACTTTATCACCTTAGTGCTTGGTTTTCCAGCAGGTAGAATTATGCTGAATTCAAAACTTTTAGAAGAAAACAAAGGTATCAGAGGGTAACCTTATGTCTGTGTGAGCTCAGTTAGTGAAATTATCAACCTTTTAAAAGGAAAAAAAATATTGTGCACTGGAGCAAGCAATAACTCACACTTTCTGGCAGAGACATCAGGTTTAGGAAGTGGTTTCCAGTCTATGCAGGTAACTGTGAAGGACACTCCTGATTCTCAGATAATCTAGCCTACCCCAGCATATTCTGTTGGAGCAGAAAAAGGATTCTAGCCCCAAATTGAAATGCTCTGAGAGAGAGGAATCACCATCACGGGCACCTTACTCAACAGTTTTAGTAAGTAGTAGCTATGCCAGCACGAAGCATGGGAGAAGACCTGTGCATCTCCTCCCTCCACTGCGACCCTCACCCTATACCACTCCTCTCCTGCTACCTTCATTTCCAGACTTGCTTTCAGCAGCCAAGGAGCCAAGCCTGGCCCTGTATTTGAAATGCCCTCTTGGTCTCTTATGAGGCACCCTATCTTTCAGAGCATTTGGAGATGCCCTTTATAAGTTCTGGCACTTATAAAGGCAGGCAGTTCTTTAAACAGAAAGCGCTTGTGCCTTTGGATCTCAGTAGACCCAGTGTTTTACTGAGCTCAGGGGCAGGAGCAGGACTATGTGTTTGTATGTGGTTCATTAGCAAAAGCAGCTAAATGATCAGACTGTTGTGCATATTTTTTTTCCAGTATAACACTGCATGTTTTGAAATGCTGGCTTAGCTCCAGGACCAGCATGTTGGAAGGAGCACAGTTAACAAGCCTCAGTTGTAAAGAGGCACTTTTCTCTATATGCACTTACTCAAGCATCTGTTCAGCAAAATAATCATCTGAGTTCTCAAATTTCCCAGTAAATGGAAACAAATCTTGCTGAATGCTGTGTTGAACCAGCTGTCTTAGCTCCCCAGCTGAGGTAGTGCCTCATCCTGTCACCACACTAGACGATTACTGTCACTGCAGGTTATGTGTTACAAAATGAATCCCCCTTTGAATTAAAAAGGCAACTGATGGTGAACTGGGGAGTTCTTTGTTAGGAACTCCCAGAAGCAAAGAATGAGAAAACAGCGCAGGCTGCAGAAAAGCATTGGAGAGATGAGATTAAGATTGGAGAGAGCTTTCCTAGTGTAAGACTTGCTAGGAACTGCTTGCTGAATATTGCTAACTCATTCTTGTGGCTGGGAGCTCCCTAAATACCTGTGTGAGCAGCTGCAGAACACACACAACTTGATCTTTCTCCACTTGCTTTCTCCAGCCCTAAATGGTTACCTGCCATTTAAATAATCTCTTTGACTGTTTCTTGTCCCGTGTTTTCTCACACCTTTTAAATTCACCTGATGTATCCCAACTCTTACCTGTCTACCTCTGTGATAGAGGAAAAATGACAACTCACCTGTTTTTCTAGCTCCATAATAATCTTCTCCTGCTGGTGAATCTGATGGTTCTTCATTTCCAGAACATGCTTTAAGCTCTTCAGATCGTCTTCTAAATGCAGATACGGAGCTCGTTCCATCTAGGAAATATACCAGTGATCTGGATATTTGTCAGCCATAAATGCATCTTCATCCATAAGATAAAGATTTCTCAATGAAACCAGTGGTATAGAAGTCCCAGTGATGTGAAAACCACCTGGATCTGGGCCTCCTCAGCCATTCTGAACTGTGATGTTCTCTCCTAGGCCAACCCTTTGGCTGGATAGCAAATGGTACCTTTCTTTTGACCAGCCTCATGGCTAGAAGGATGGGATGCCAGAGTGTTCAGCAACCTAATTCCTACTCACAGCTTGGGAACCACACGCTGTGCCCTATGATTATGAAGGGATTTTGGCTTGGGGAAAATACAAACCCAAAACTGAGGAAACTGGACAAGGGGGCTGGAGGAGAAAGCTACAGTGTTGTGCCTTCCCTGCACCACTGCATCACAGCGCCTGTTAGCAAAGATCAGATCTGGCGGGAAAAGTTCCTCCTCTGCTTCAGAACTTCAGATGTAGGGTTCAGCTCAGGACCAAAAGGTGTGCCCTGAATGATACTGAAGAAATACTGTAACTGACTTCAGCTGTTCTGGATTTTTCCCTGTGTAACTCACTCCAGTGAACTGCCTGGTGGTACCTGGCATTAACATCACTGTGACCCAGCAGAATTTGTCCTTTCATGGAAATTAAATACTGCAGCAGAGGTGGAAAGGGACTGATGCTACCTGTCTCCCATGGCCAAACCTGTTTCAAACATTCGCACTC